AGGGAGCCCGATGCGGGGCTCGATCCCAGGACCCTGGGATCATGACCTGAGCCGAAGGCAGATGCTTAACCATCTGAGCCACCCAGGTGCCCCGAGAAATGTTTACTTAATACGTCTCTGATACAGCACATGCTGTGTAATAGCGTATATATCCTGGAGGCATCAGAATGCCATGTGTGTGGTCAAGTAGAGCAGTGTACAGAGGTGTTTGTCTGAGTGTATGTAGGAGCTGAGCTGCAGGGTACAGGCAATGGAGGGAGGGCTGGCCTCCCAGTGTGGAAGTCAAGTTTCTATTTGGACCAAAGAGCTGGGTCTGTTGAGGTTATATGCACTGCCAGAGGGAGGTCCCTTTTTGGCTGCCCCTTTCCCTCCCCAGTTTACTTTGTCTTGGAAGAATAGTTATTATAAAAGAAGCCTCCATTAAGTCCAACCTTGCACATCACCAGAATTTATTTATTAACTTACTGTTACATTGTTTTAGTTACGGGCCAGAGATAAAAACAAAGACAAATCCTACAGTTTTACTCCTGTCCCAAATTGTTACATAACGTAATTTTCCTGTGACCCTATAAAGGGGTGAACCTCAGTTTAATGTTTAGATTGCAGGACCATGAGGGCATAAAGGTAAATAAGTGGGTGTAAAAATTGTTTTCTTGTTTCACTTGGCAATTTTTTTCCAGGAAGAGTTTTCCTTTGTTGATGTTTTGTTACATTGTTGACTTTGGATGTTATACCCATTGATGAAAACATTAATGTGTTTTTTTTTTTCCAATTGAGTAGGAAGTTGATATTATTCTGTGTTGTCAAGAAAGGATGAAGCTGCATTTGGATAAGGCCATTGCTCAACTTGCGTAAGACCTTTAACTCTATATACAATTTAAAATCTATCTCAAAACTATGCTTTCATGCCTCCCATTCAAATTTCTCTTAGCTTCTTATGTAAGGATTTCTTATATATGGATACACACACACACATGTGCACATATACATTTTTATTTGGAGGTTGAGATGAGTACTTGGAGTGCTTGCTTTAAATTTATAGCTAAAGAAATAATTTTGAGGAGCGCCTGGGTGGCTCAGTCGGTTAAGCATCAGACTCTTGGTTTCAGCTCAGGTCATGATCTCAGCGTTGTGAGATTGAGCCCTGTGTGGGGCTTTGTGCTCAGCATGAGTCTGCTTGAGATTCCCTCCCCCTCTGCCTCTCCCCAAACTTGCGCGTGAAGGCACATGCACTCTCTCTCTCAAATATATAAATAAAATCTTAAAAAAAAAAGAAAAAAATAATACATATAATGATTAACAATGTATAATAATATATACATATAATGATTAATAATGATAAATAATACATATAATGATTAAGATAATTCAATATTTGTATTTAAAAAGCTCTGTTCATATGTATAAATTGTATATAAGTAGATGCATTTTTAAGATAGCTTTAAAAATGATACATATGTTGGTATATAATAGGAAAATCTGGAAAGAAACAGCTATTAATGAACTACTCAATGTTCAAAGTGTTCCCTTTTGGGGGAGGGATGGATATTTATCTTTTATTTTATATACTCTTTTGAATTAGTAGTTTAAAAAGCTCACATTTATTGAATGTTTATTTTGAGCCCAGAACTGTGATAAGCATTTCAAGTGCTTAACATTGTCTTGCTTACTCTCATAACTGCTCTAGAGTGTCTGTATGGGAGGTGCCTAGAGGTGGGAAGTTGCCAGGAGAAGGGAGCCAGGTATTTGCCTTGAGCTATGTTTGCACACCAAGCACACTATTGTTATCCAGGTTTTGTGCTCATTTAGGATGACTTGGTAGGGGAAATGCTGCCAAGTAACATCCTGCTGGTAATACCTCTCATAATAATCCAGAGAAGTAAGTACTACTATTATTCCCATTTTAGAGATGAGGAAATTGAGGCACAGATAGCTTAAGTAATTTGCCCAATGCCTCACAGCTAGTAAATAGCAGAGCCAAGATTTGAGTCCCTGTTAAAATGCATACTTCAGGCTCTTAATTTAGATTTGTTACAAGATAATAATAACTTAAATTTAAATCATAATTTAAAAAAATTTCAGAAATTCAAGTGGCCAATCCAAAAAAAAGTAGTTTTTAGTATATTCTAGAAACAGAGATGGGAAAAAATATTTTTGGAACATATTATCACTGGTAAGGGTGGATATCAAATTAGAACAAATACCTAATATGTTAGGGAGTACTGCTACTAAAAGTCAAATGTGGCTTTTATTTGTAAATTTTCACCAAAGATTAATTTATGTGACTGTCTGTTTTTACATCCTCCCCCCCTTTTAAACAGGAGAGATTTACAAATAGTGTTTGAGCATCATGGAGCCTTTAGGTTCTACGTTAACGGCAACTTATGCCCACCCTAGACCAACACCGACCAACATTCTACCAGCCATCAGTACTATGGCATCAAGCTATAGGGACCGCTTCCCCCACTACAATTTAACCCATACCTTGAGCCTTCCTTGGAGACCAAGTACATACTACAAAGTAGCCTCCAACTTGCCAACCTTGGGTCCGTACTGCACCAGATCTCAGAAGGTGTGCGAGAGTACCATGCTTCCCTTTGTTTCCAATAGAACCACTCTCTTCACAAGGTATACTCCTGATGATTGGTACAGGTCCAATTTAACCAACTATCTAGAATCCAACACTTCCCGACATAATTCAGAGAGACTAAGGGTAGATACATCTCGCCTGATTCAAGACAAATATCAGCAAACAAGAAAAACTCAAGCAGACTCCACCCAAAATTTGGGAGAACGAGTCAATGACATAGGATTTTGGAAATCTGAAATCACTCATGAGTTGGATGCAATGATTGGAGAGACAAATGAACTCACTGATGTTAAGAAAAAATTGGAGAGGGCTTTGATGGAGACAGAAGCCCCTCTTCAGGTAAATATAAGACCTTATAATAAAAGACACTACATATTTGTATGATTATAATCCACTAAGTGAATTACTGTGGTTATTCTCTGTCAAATTATGCTTCACTTCACCTATAGAAGCCAACGTCCTATCAGTCCATCTACAACTACTTTCAGTAGTTGGTAAAACCATGACCAGTTTTACACATCCTACAGAACAACTATTTAAGTAGAATGAATTCTGAATGCAAAGCAAAGGAGGTTAAGTAGAGAGACACCCTTAGGGTCCACAGTGTTTTATGGTAAGAATGCCATCTACCCATTTATTAAATAGGCTGCCTGGGCATTGCTGTCCCTGGATTATTGTATATAATATTTGAAGGAAAAAAGTACTGTTCTTTTAATCTGTGTCATGAAATGCCTCCTGTGCATATGTTATGATTCCTTTTTAGGGCACAGTGAAATGATCAATGAGACCATCTTAGGAGATGGAGTGAGTTTGATTGAATAGAGAAATGGGCCTGAGGTTAAGCCAGTTGTTATGGTCATGGAGGCAGCATTTTAGTTTGTTGCTGGCCTCTGGCTACTGCTCACCATTATTTGTGTATCTGTAGGTAGCCAGAGAATGTCTATTTCATCGAGAGAAGAGAATGGGGATTGATCTAGTTCACGATGAAGTGGAAGCCGAACTGTTGACGGTAAGTACAGTCAATAGCAAGAAATGTAGTTGCAAATATGTGCTTAATGTGTAGAAACAAACAAAAATTATGTTATATGAAGCCATTTATAAATAAGTTATAGTATCAAATGTTTATAGCATTTAGAAAAGATTTTTTTTTTTTTTTGGTTATAAAAGTAATAGATGTTCATTGAGAGAATTCAAAAGATACAGACTAGGATAAAGAAAGATAAAAATCATCTGAAGCTCAGTTGGACAGAAATCACTGTTAATTTTGGAGAATTTCAGTTTATTCAGAGAATTTCAGAGAATTTCTTTTTATTAATCATACTTAGACACCATCCAACTAAAAGACACACAAACATGTCTTCAAGATTAGAATTATACTGTATACGTAATTTGAATAGTGCTTTTTTTGATGGATAAATGCTCAACGATGTTTATTCTTAAATATGGTTGTAGGGAAGGCAGCACCATTCTTTTTAAAGACTTAATTTTTTTAGAGCAGTTTTAGGTTCACAGCAAAACTGAGGGTAAGGCATAGAGATTTCCCATACAGCCCCTGCTAGGGCACAGCTTCCCCCATTACCAACATCCCCCACCAGAGTGGTACATTTGTCACCATTGATGAACTTACATTGATACATCATTGTCATCCAAAGTCTGGAATACCCTTAGGGTTCACTCTTGGTGGTGCAGATTTTATGGGTTTGGACAAAGGTATAATGACATATCCATCATTGTAGTATACAGAGTATTTTCACTTCCCTAAGAATCCTGTGTGTGCTGCCTATTCATCCTTCCCCTCTAAAAGTGCTTTATTCATTTAAGAATTGTGTTGGGGTAATTTTCCTATAGCATTAGATATACTTCTATGTGTATATGTATGATATGCATGAATTTAATGGTTACACTGTGTTCCACAATGTGAAGGTGCTACCATTAAAAAAAAAAATCAATTCTTTCTTTTTGAATAGTTAAGTTGTTTCCCTATCTCAGTCCCCCTTTGGTTTTCTTGCTATTATAATAACACAGCTGTGTACAAAAATATTATTATTGATAACTGTATGTATTTCTGATTATTTCCTTGGAATACTTTTCAAGAAATGTAATGGGTGGGTCAAAAGGCAGATGCTTTTGGGAAGTTTTGCTCTATAGCCAAATTGTCATCCAGAAGCTGAGAGTCCTATGCGCACTACTATGCTGATTCTCCTGCTAGGCTCCCTTCCGTGTCCACCAATTAAATGTGACTTAGGTCTAAGTTCTCTGGCCTTCACTTGCCAGACTTACTCCCACAAGATCTGTGCCATTCCTTAAGATTTCATCCGCTTCATGCTTTGGCCTTCCTAATCTCTTTTTCAGGCCAGACACTCTATTGTGCATTAGTTCTGTGTCCCTAAGTCCCTGTCAAATGAATTTATGTTGGAAAGCCTGCTACCCCTCCCCGCTTTTTTGGTTCATATTCATGAAGCCTGAAAGTGTACTTTCCTTCTACCCCGATGCCTTCCACCTTCCCCTTCCTACTGATGGTACCAAGGTTCTCCTGTCACTTGTGGCATGGCTTGCTGACTATCTTCACCCTTTGTAATCAGTTTCCAGCTCCTGTAAAATTGTTCCTCTCCTTTCCATTCTGTTCTCTCTTACCATTGTTCAAAACCATCCTTTCCTCCTTCAGAGCTGGTTAATGCGAAATCCCCAAATATCTTCCCTTCACTTGGATTTGCACTACCATTTCCACCAGTGGTTCGAGCCGCTAAAAACTCTTCCTTGACTCCCTAATTTCTATGACCTTCCATTGTCTGGCTCTCACTCCCTCTCAGTCCCATTTCCTACTCTGACTTGCTGAATTTCTGCAGCAGGAAATCAATTCACTATCCTTGAACCAGCATGGCTGGGTCCCACCTGTTTGCCTTTCTGTGATTGGTCCTTGGTTAAAAAAAAAAAAAAAAAAGAATCCTTGGTAAGAAAGTAAATGTGATGAGCTCGCAAGTTGGTCATCAGTAATATTATCCTCATAAATCATCAGGGTCCCTCTTAACATTGCATTAAATTATTTTTAGTGACCTATTGCATTACGGATGATAAGCAGAAGTTTTTTTTTTTTAATTTGCTCTTTGCCTTCCTCTACTGCGTGATTCTCTGAAAGAAATATGCATGGAAATAATAAATTCAGGAAAGTTTTGGCCACTACAAAGAGGCTATGCAATCTATTTTGTAAAAGCCACAGTACCTATTGCTGCCACATGAGTGATTAGGAACAAGATCCCAAATCAAGTAGCTTTATGTGGATGGGTCGATGCTCTGCTATTTCTTCCTTCCCTGCCTCTGATGAATCTCCCATCTTGAAATAATCTGTAATCTACTTTGTCATTCTAAAGGGGGAAGAATTTACCAGCAAATATCCTTTGGCCTCTTCTTCTCAGTGATCCTGAGATGTTTTGTATCAAGTAAATTATACATCAGTTCTAACAATTCTTAACTTCATCAGAATATCTCTTGGTATTTACAAGACTTTTTCTTTTTTTTAAACTTTACTACTTTTAGTGTATTATTCTAGCTCTCAAACCTGGCTACACCTTAGAATCACTTGAAGAAGGTTTTAAAAACATCAATGACTGGGTCCCACACCCAGAAATTCTGATTCAAATCTGGAGTGGGGACTAGGCATTGGTATTAAAAATATTCCCCAGATAATTTTAATGAACAGCCAGAGTTCAGAACCACTGTAAAATATTGTTGATAGGAATTAATGAAGACCTAAATGAGTGGACATATGTGCATGTATTGGGAGACTTAAATAGTGTTAAGGTGGCTGTACTTCTCAACATGGACCATAGATTCAACAGAATCCTTGTCAAAATCCCAGCTGACTTCTTTGTAAAAACCGACAAGCTGATCCTGAAATTCACATGGAAATTCAAGGGATTCAGAATAGCCAAAATAATATTGAAAAAGAAGAAATTCAGAGGACCCACGCTTCTTGATTTAAAAACTTACTACAAAGTTACAATACATGAGACAATAAAGATAGACATATAGATCAATGGAATAGAATTTGAGAATCCAGAAATAAATCCTCCCTTTTACAATCAATTCGTCTTCGACAAGGGTGCCGAGATGATCAATGGGAAAGGAATACTCTCATGAACAAATGGTGATTGGAGAGTTGGATGTCTGTGTGCAAAAGACTGAAGTTGGACTTTTACATCACACCATATATAAAAAATTGAATAAAAGTGGATCAAAGACTTAAATGTAAGAGCTACAATTGTAAAACTCTTAGAAGAAAACATAGGCATAAATATTTGTGACACAGGAATAGGCAACCATTTCTTAAATCTGACACCAAAAGCACAAACCGCACACAACATAAGAAAAAAGAGATAAACTGATCATCACCAAATAACAAACTTGGATGCTTCAAAGAACATCACCAACAAAGTGAAAAGAAAATCCATAGAATGGAAGAAAATCTTCTCAAATCATACATCTGATAAAGGACTTGTATCCATAATATATAAAGAACTCTTGAAATTAAAGCTAAAAAAAACCCCAAATAACCCAACTCAAAATAGGCAAAGGATTTGAACAGAGAGTTCTCCAAAATGCATATACACATGGCTGATAAAGGACAGTAAAAAACGCTCATCATTAGTTCATCAGGGAAATGCAAATAAAACCACAATGAAATACCACCTCACACCCCTTAGAATGGCTATACTTAGAAACACAGATAATAGCAAGTGTGGTGGGAATGTGCTGGTTGGGATGTAAAGGATGCACCTGCTTTGGAAAATGGTTAAATATAGAGTAGCCATATGATTCAGTAGTTCTACTCCTATGTATCTGCCCAAGAGTAAGTACATACCTACACAAGAACTTGTACATGAATGTTCATAGCAGGATTATTCGTAACAGCCATTTAGAAACAACACAAATGTCCATCAGCTGATCAGTGACATATAAAATGTGGTGTAGCCATACGGTAGAATGTTATTTAGTCATAAAAAGTGCTAAAACATTCTACTACATGGATGATCCTTGAAAATTTATGCTAAGTGAAGCAGTCAGGCACAAAGGACGGCACATTGCAGGATTCCATTTCCATGAAATGTCCAGATTAGGGAAATCTATAGAGACTGAGTAGATTAGTGGCAGCCTCAGAGAAACAGGCTCAGGAGATTGGAAACGGGGTGACAGTGAAAGGGTATGTTGTTTCTTTGGGAGGTAATGAGGATGTTCTACAATTGGTTCTGGTGATGGTTACATAACTCTGAATATACTGAAAACCATTGAATTGTACAGTCAAATACGTGAGCTCTATTGTACATGAGTTATATCTCAATAAATCTATTTTTTAAACAATCACCACCACTGCTTTAGGGGTTTAATATTTTCTAGACCAGTAGCAGAGGTTACTTTATCTCAAAATAACTAAATCTGCAGTTAAAGTAATGGTTTGTCAACTGAGGGGTGCCTTGATCATTGCCAATTAATTCAAGTAATGAGTGTATCCTTAGCTTACTCAAAGTAGTGATATTAGCATATCTTTTAACCAACACTGGTCTAATTTTTTTGAATAACTAAATAAACATTGGCAAAGAAAAGAAGTAGCCTTAAAAGGCCTGCTTTTGAAGAAGGTGGCCACATTGAAATATTTTCTCATGAATTCTGTTGACTTTTACATTCAATCAGTGATATTCACCAAATTCTTATAGAATGGCTTCTCTTGGGGGATTGATCAGGGTTACCAACTTTTTGGTCCTCCTAGACTAGGCTAACTCCTTGAACTTTTTAAAGCCAAATGAACCTTGAGTACAGATTAATAGATAAATTAACAGTGGGAGACAATTCCAAAGGTAGGCATTCCCTATTTCCATGAACCCTTCTGCCTCCAACCATCTGATATTTATCATACGACATTATTTAAATTCAAATATAGAAATTATTGTTGAAGAATATTTTTTATAACAGGAGTCTCATTAAATGCATTTTTTTTCCCATTAAAGTCCCGGACATTCCCACTACATGCCTTGTGTATACATAGTATAAAAGCTCACTAGGATTTTGGGTGTTAAATAGTATTTTCTTTTTTTTTTTTATTCTTATGTTAATCCCCATACATTACATCACTAGTTTTAGATGTAGTGTTCCATGATTCATTGTTTGTGCATAACA